TTATTCCAATGGATATTTTCATCAATATTTTTCTCCAGTGCTCGAAATCGTCTAGCAAATAATAATGTGATGAGAATCGGAATCGCATAAGAGCACTTTGGGAAATCCGTTTTATGAATCCTTTTCTTCTCTCGGTATCCCTATCATAACAATAATACTTGATTTCGTCTTGAGGAGTTTGCAATCATAATAAGCGCCCATGGCTTGAAATTCCGCATTCGCTGTTTAATTCAACGATCTAGATAGGCATAGTTTCCGGTTGTTATTTTTACCCGGTCGAGAATTGTTATTGCAGTTGCGGATGTAAAACTAACCTGCAGTATTTTTAATAATTAAGTAGTATTTTTGATATAATATTTAATTTCAAAACGGAAATTGAGAGATTCCATAATTCAACCCTTTCCGCGCGGCTGTAATATCTATCAGCAACTTGGCGCCACATTCTGACGGAAAAGTACCTGCTGTAAACATGATATTATTGTTTATGTTATGCAATTTATTTCATATGATTTTTTTTATAGCTTATATGAATTTAAATTTATTTTAATTTGCAAAAGGCCTAGCGGGATGATTCCAGTGCCGTTTTTTATATATTTCTACAAATAGCTCGGCGATTTTACCGTGTTTAGAAAACAAAAATTATATAATAAAAACGAGCAAAAAAAACTTTAAAAATACTTTAAAAAAATAACGGATAGTAAATTTTGAAAACACTGTCTTGTTACTACTTTTTTCACTTATTATTATGGTCGCTTTTAGAGGCCGATTCTGCCGTAAAATTGACCAATGTTATGGCAAGGCTATGTTGCGTAGCGCTTCTCATACAAAATGACATGTAATTGCTGAGCGATTAGGCGATTTACATATAAAATGCAACTTCAGTCATATGTTATTATGCTACATCTCAAAGATGCAGTTGTGATAACATTGTTCTCCGAAATTTGTGCGTTTTCTAGGTTAGATTTTTTATCTGAAACGTCTGACTGCACAGCAACCACTTGGCCTTTGACAGTATTTAGTACCTTTTTGTATGAAGAACACGTAACATTAAGGTGACCATATTTTTGCATGAAATCCGGAACGGATTAGAATATGTGTGTGTGCGTAGGGGGGGGGGGGTGTTGTTGGTGAGCTAAAAACTTTTTTCGGTTCAAATTTTCTAGTTGAAATATATTTAAAAAAATATTAGCAATCAAAACATTTTTAAAAATCCGGGACAATCCGGGACAAAACACCTAAAACCAGGACAAATATTGCTTTTAGAAAAACCCGGGACGCAAGGCGGAAAATCGGGACTGTCCCGGCCAATCCGGGACGTATAGTCACCTTACGTAACATAGCCTTGCCATAACATTGCTCCATTTTACGACAGCATCGGCCCCAAAATCATGATTAGAAAAGAAAACAACTGTAGCGTAAGTTTTAGTTATCGTCCGAAAATTAAAAATGAACATTTTTGCATATCACAATTACATAGGTTTGTGGCGATATCAAGCAGGCTGGTTTTGATTTGTAAAAAACAATCGGACATGTCATGTATATTTTTGATATCGAAATATTTTTACAGTTAATAAATTTATATTTTTTTATTATGTTGGGAGTTTCTAATTAAATATATTATCATAATCATTACTACTCCCACATTGGGAGGGAGTGTGTGGCGATATCAAGCAGGCTGGTTTTGATTTGTAAAAAACAATCGGACATGTCATGTATATTTTTGATATCGAAATATTTTTACAGTTAATAAATTTATATTTTTTTATTATGTTGGGAGTTTCTAATTAAATATATTATCATAATCATTACTACTCCCACAGGTTTAATTACGTACTTTTCGAAGGTTTCAGAACATTTTAGTATACCTTACAACAAAATGTGTGTGTGTGTGTATGAATGTGTGGATACAATTTTTCATTCGCGTTTTCAGGAGTACGGGGGAAGAATTCGATTCTTTTTGATGAGGACATGCTGACTAGTTTTTGGCAAAATTTGGTCCAGTTGTTTGAGAGATACGGTGCAAAGAGTGCAGAAAATAGAAATCCAATTTTTGAGAGAATGAAGTATCTGATTTGAATGATTCCAAAAACATTATACTTGTATTGACCGAATGAGGGATTAATTAAATTTTCAGGAAGGCAAGTTCAAAAAAATATTATTTGGCGGTCAAAAATGATCATTAGACTTATGCACATCAAATTATCAGATATTTTATAAAAATTTTAATATTGAGTACATTTTGTTTATATTGCTATGGGTTCAGTATATTCCTAGACTTATAATTTTCAACCTTCAGACGGCGACGCGGCGCTTACGCGCTTCTATATTTTGTCTCTAAAATTTGTCTTAAGGAACGGTGCCATGCGCCCTGTTACGGGATTACCAATAAAAAAACATAATGATTTCGATTCTTCGGTATAATGAGACATCGTTATATGGGCACCACCATCAACGCAATTTGTGGTGGCTCAACTTCTTGCTTCATAAAGTACATTTTGTTTTTATTGGTATGGGTTCCGTATCAAGATTTGTATTATTTTATGGTTAGACCGAGACGCGGCGCTTACGCGCTTCGATATTTTGTATCTAAAATTTATCTTTAGGCACGATGCCATGCACCACTAGTTGGCCCTGTTGCAGGATTACCAACAAAAAAACCTAATAATTTCGATGCTTCGGTATAATGAGTAGCCATCGTTACATGGGCACCACCATCAACTTCTTTGTTGTGTTGGTCTCAACTTCTTCCTTCGTTCTTCGGCCAGTCCGCTCGTTCGTGTCCGTCTCTCCTCGGCCTCGTTCGCTGCGTCCCGCTCGCTCCCACGTGCAGACCGACGCTCTCCCTGCCGGTACGACAGGTCGTCGCGCGCTCACTCTGGTGACTTTGAAATTAAAGTTGTTACTTCAGTCGGTTTTTATACGTCATACAGTTTGTATACGAGAATCTGTTCGAAATGAGTAAACATTTGGTGATGATAATAAATAGTAAGTTTTATTGTGATTGATAATTTTATATTAAATGACTTGTGATCGTTACATTTTTGGAATTAGTGTTCCTCTGTTGTGTCTGGTTATATGCATTTGTTCCGGTGAGTACGCTTAACTCTTGTTTATTATCAGCACTAACGAAAGTTTTTAGTTAATATAAAAATGTTAAATAAGGTGGAGTCATGCTCCAATTATTCGGTATTTATTGTGCAATGTATGTAGAAATTTGAGAATTTAGTAATTGTGTACAAACTTTAGAGTTCATAATATTATTTATGATATTTTGTATCGATGTTCTTTTGATTGAAGAAGAAGATTGAATGCCATGAGACATTCTGTTTAAGCCGGATTTTATGAGTAATCATTGCTTTAGGTTTATTAAAATGCTTATAATTCAAATCTCCAAATTAAATCACAACACGTGGTTAATAAAGTAGTAGTTTTCAAAAGTTGATTAAATTGCGCTTAATTACGCTTGAATTAAGAGCTAAAACTTTCAGAGAATTGTTTTTTATCAATTTGGAACCATTTGAGCCCCTGGGAGCAAGGAAATTCGAAAATGACCATTTTAAGGACCACCCTAATATATATTTATATATACATATATATATATATATATATATTAGGGTGGTATATATTATAAAATAAAATATTACTTTATTCGAAAATGCACTAATAAAATAATTATATTAGTCATTAACCATTACTAATGGCAAAAGAGGCGAATACTTTCATAGATACAAGTGTCCATTTATAATATAAATTTGCAGATTTAAATATATTCTAATTTCGTTAATCATTATGTAAGTATATGTTTATGTTTACACTGTAAGCATGTGCATTTCACATCTCTAAATACATAAAATTGAGT